TTTTGTAGAAAATTTGTTTCCCTAATGCCCGGATTTTGTAGTTTTTAAATTTTTCAAGTTAATTCCTATTTTTTCTCCCCTTAAAGTAAATAAATTTCAAACAGGGAGAATACCTAAGAGATTTTATCGAAGATTTGAGAGACAGTAACGAGTTCTACGTACGACATTGTTCTCGATCGTGTCTCGTGCGAACTCATCTAATTATGGCAGCTATCAATGCACGTTCGTTTAAATGACGTGATAGACATCTGCCTTGTTTCTCATTGAAAGGATTCGTTATTTAAAATGACATTTAATAAAAAGAAAAGAAAAGAAAAGAAAAAAGAAAATAATTCATATAAGTCTCGTTTATTCTTACCAAAGATTTTCGATATCGTAAAACTTCCACCATACATTATACATAATATATTTTCAAGAAAATAAATATAAATAAAATAATCAAAAGAATATTATATAATAAAACGATATATACCAAAAAAATAGAAGAATAATTTTACAAGTATTAATCATTAAATGAACATAATTTCTAATGATATCAATTATTTTTTCTCATGTATAAATACACTTTTTGGGAAAAGAAATTTTTTTTAAATAAATACGCGTACAAATACAAAAGAAAATTTTCAACGTAACGTATGTTTAATAATTATTATTATTAATGATTCGGTAAAAAAAAAAAGAAGAAAAAAAAACAAAATGAAAGATAAACTATAGCGATAATTTAGTTAATAACCCTTTAATGCGTGCTATGGTGAAAGGAGGGGGAGGGAGGAGAGAGAAGAAGGTGGGATAAAAAATGTTCTAATCGTTTTGTCACAAACTTATTGTAACTCGCGTTAAATTTTAACGATAGTCATTCGGCACGTCCATTTTAACAGCGTCGCATTATTCCAAAGTTCACTTTTCTTTGTTTAAATTATTCGCGGGAATCTAAATGAAACTAAAAAAGATCTATTTTGTAATTTGATTATTTTTCCCGTCGAGACATTTGATTTATTTCTTATGTTTTTTCATCGGTGTCATTAACAAGTTACTCCCTCTTACCCTCAACGCGTAATAAACTTATTTTATTTCGAATTGGGGAATGATTTCACTTTTTTCTTTCAAGTTGCACTTTCGTTTATTATTATTATTATGTTTAGGGAAAAAGACAAAATGTTTAAACCATTTGTTAAATCATTTGTTAAATCACTAAACAACACACACACCCGCTGAGAGATCGAAAATACAAACGAAGATTTTACAATTTGATTCGAGAGTTGTCAGTTAGAAATGAGAACGCAATTTGCGTGAAAACTTGTTGAAAAAAAATTATATTCTATCGATTATAAATAATTTTTATTCTCGTATCTCGTAATAATGAAGGAATCACTTTGTAGTTGTAACAAATCTTCGCACATTTTTATTATAAAAAAAAAAGAACTAATAACAACAACAACACAGATCTCAAAAACTTTCTAATTACTATAATAAAATACGTAATCTCACAATATTATAAAATAATATGAAAAAGCAATAAATCATCGAATAATCGATTTAATCACTCGTATCAAAAAACTCACGAACGAAGAATAAAAAAATGGTCACGACACGGCACAACCCATTCAACCCCTTAAAAGAAAAAAAAAAAAAAAAAGAGGAAAAAACTTAATCGAACAGTGAAATATTTTATTCGCTCACCTTTGTTGGATATACCAAGTGTACCAGCAAACTGGACAACGAGGACACCGATAACACCGATGATAGCAACTCTCATGTTGATAGGAAGAAAAGTCAAAGAGGAATAATTTGTACGTTTCCTCGAATAAAATAAACCACTTTGATTAATATCACGAGAACAAGAATTAATAGTAACAGTAGTAGTAGTAGTAGTAGTGGCAGCAGAAATAGTAGCACAATCAAGGTCAGATTTATAACACTGTTCGGAGAATATATTAGAATGATTTAATTCATCGTTCACATCACAACCACCACCATCAGGATTAATTACGATAGGCACTCTCGTCACTGGCATAACTTTTCACGTTCCTTCTTTTAAATATATATATACATACATATATATATATATATATATATAAATCAAATATTCAAATTCAAATATATAAATATACAGTTGAATAAAAACAAATGAACGATTAAAAAATATAAAATAAATCAAAGCACGTGAAAACAATATAATTAAATATCAAGAAAATAAATCAGTTAATAAATTAATAATAATAATAATAATAATAACAATAATAGTATAATAATCCTCTGAAGAAAACTATCCGTAGGATCCAAATCACACGCTGTCACCCAGTCAACTACAAAGATTGCACGCGCCGCGCCGATGTTTTCATGCGCGTTGAGGAGTCGCAAGAGGAGTAGTAAAGTATAGGAGAGAGAGAGAGAGAGAAAGAGAGAGAGAAAGAAAGAGTGGAGGGGTTGGTCGTCTAGGTTGCTAAAGGTAGGAAGGGTTTTGCGCGTTTTCGCGGCTGGGCAACTCCCTTATTCGACAAGATCCATACGATCTATCAGTTCAATCCCTTCTTTCCCTCTAATGTAAAACAAAACCAAAAGAAAAAAAGGTAACAAAATTTATCGATAAGTACCGTTCAGTCGATTAACAAATAAATAACTATCGATAAACATAATTTTGTTTGTTTATAATCTATAATCACTTAAAAGATCCTATTAAAAATAAAATCGTATAATAAACGTATGTAAGGATTAAGATCAGGTATTATGATAAATTTGATGGATTGATATTATCCAAAAATAAATAGAAGAGGTTGATGGGTGGATAGGTGGATGGGGGAGGATTAATATATAAGATAGAGTGGAAAAAAACACAGGGTTGAGAATTGTAAGCTCTTGCCGCGTCGAATAACCCGGCGCTACTGAGTTAACCGAAGGAGAGACCAACGAAACTCAGCAGTTGTTCCTCTACTATACGTGCGGACACCAGGAGAAAGCTGGCTGGTTGGTTGGTTGGTTGGTTGGTTGGTTGGCTGGTTGGCTGGCTGGCTAGCTAGATACTTGGGGTAGTAGTAGTAGTAGTAGTGGTGGTGATGGTGGTGGTGGTGATGGTGGTGGTGGTGGTGGTGGTGGTGGTGGTGGTGTTGGCGGCGGCGCTCTTCGTAGAGGGTGGAAAAGCGTCGCTAGAAAGGGCGGCCCATACCACCCCAACCAACCACCCCAACAAGCTCCCCCCCACCCCCACCACCACCACCCCAATTCCAACCCCTGACGACGACGACAACTACGACAAGAAGAGAAGAGGAGTCTTCCTTCGTTCCTTCGTCAGACCTAACTCGGAGGTGTACACTTCAACGAAAGTGTCACTCGTCGTCGTCTTTCCGAACTCGAAACGAACGATCTCTTCCTCCTCCTCCTCCTTCTCCTCCTCCTCCTCCTCCTTCACCACCTCCTCCTACTTCTACGACTGTTATTGGATTCACCCCAAGGGGGATTAAACTATTTTTATTTTTTTGTATTTTTATTTATTTTGTTTTGTTTTTTCTCTCCTTGCATTATATTTAAGTTTCATTTTTGATCAATTTTCTCGTGACAGATAATTATTTTTTATCGTATAATAATAAGTGTTTCTTCTTTTTCTTAACAGATCTAACGACATGAGTTTGATTTTTTTTTAATAATTGGCTTGAAAAATGAGAAGAAATTGACACACAGATTTTTGTACGTACAATACGTAAGGATTTATAAATTGCTGGTTTATTTTTATTTGTTTTTTCTCCTTGCATTAGATTTAAGTTTCATTTTTGATCAATTTTCTCGTGACAGATAATTACTTTATCGTATAATAATAAGTGTTTCTTCTTCTTGATTTTATCATTTCTTCTTTTTCTTAGCAGATCTAACGATATGAGTTTGATTTTTTTATTGTCTTGAAAAATGAGAAGAAATTGAACAAAGATTTTTGTACGTACAATACGTAAGGATTTATAAATTGTGATTGTAAAAATGAAAGTAAAAAGAGTTTTAATTAAAGATAGGTGATATCACATTCAACGTGTTTTTTCTCATGATTTGAGTTAACATTGTTTTGTTTGTTTGTTAATTGGCGTAAGTAAATAACGTTTTCCCTGTCTATCAGTTCAATGATTAAAATTCACACAATAAGAATTCATATATACGTGTCGATAATTGTAACAATATAATCGTATGATTAATTTTAAGAATTTGTTTTATATTTATCTTTTTTTTTACTATTATATCGTAATATTAGATGATACACATGTGAGATAAATCAATGAAAATATATTGATCTATAAACAAGGGATGATCAAGAACAAAATGATTTTTTGATTTGTTTAATAATTATTATTAAAATTGAATAGAAAATAATAATAATTCGTAAAATAATTTATAACGATTATAGAAAACAATGATCAATTGGAAGAATCATTCGTAAACGTGATGTTAAACAATTATCCCGATGATATATTTTTTTATTTATTTCAATTAATTAAATATAATCCGAGATCTCTCTCTCTCTGATTGACCATGTCCTTGACATTGCGAATCGTATTTTGTGGGTTACGTAATATTTGATTAAGTGTATACACCTTTCGAAAAAAAAAAGAAAAAACCAAAAATGTTTTTGACATTTCACGCATAAGCTTGTCAATCCTATGCAAATTTATTCACACTACTCGGAATATTTCAAAGTTTTATAGGAAAAAGATTCGTGTGTGTGATCAGCGTGATTCCACGCATAGTGAATCGCGCGCATGCTCCATCGGTGATTGAAATTTATATTGTCGATGAGAACGCCAAGTGAGAAATTATTTCGTTTAGGTTGCAAACAATTTAAATCTATTTTTTTTTTTTTTTTTTTCATAAAAAATCCTGTGAAAAAAAATACAATATATATATATATATATATACATATATGCATTCACTCTGTGCACATTTTTCTTATACCTTTAATTTTGTTAAACAAATTCATCGTATAAATAACCAAAGAAAATAAGAAATAAAAAATATTTCAAAATACGATCGATATTATACAATACATTAATCACAATTTTTCATTTTAATTTTCATTTTTATAATACGATTTTTTTTACAATAAAACAATCGTTGCGTTAGGGTTCTCTCTTCTTTTTATTATAATTATCTGATACGTTGTATCACACACACACACACACATTGTATTTCTTTTCTTACTTACTTTGATTATTTATCCTCGGGTTGTTTTTTTTTTTTTTTAATCAAAAAATCATTATTAAAATGATTATCATTAGTATCGATGATAGGGAATAAGTGTCAGGACAAATCGAACGTGTTACTAATTAGCGTTTTTCGCATATTCATAAAGGTATACGTTAACATTATCTTGAACAATAGTTGGAACGCGTTGTTTTGTAGTCTGTTAAAATGGTTCAACGAATAATGAATCACCGTTTTATGTATTGTATTTTCCACATAAAACTCTTTGTTTCTCTCTCTCTCTTTCTAACATACACACATACACACACTTTCTCTCTCTCTCTCTCTCTTTCTCTCTTTTGTTAAAACGCTAAACGAATTTATTGCGTCCTATTGATTTCGTATTTTAATAGCACGATATCGATAAGTAGAGAATAAACAAGTAAACCACACATATATACATACATACATATACATATATAAGTTCGTTAGATTTGGACTATTTGTTAATAATATTGTCGCGTAATAATTTTCCATTTGTTAATTAGCGATTGTTAATTTATTTTATATCATCATCACGTTGACGAACATTTTATACTTACTTCCGAGTATTACGTGTTACATTATAAATAATCATTGTAGTTACACACACATGCTTCATTTTATATAATAATTATAATTGTTATTGTAAAAAGAATCGTTAGATTGCGCGTAACATTTTTAATGGATAAATGTAACAAATTTCGATTAATTCCAACTCGAAGATTTTTTATTCGTTGTTAATTATTCTCCAAAAAATTCAACAAATACGTTTCCTTTTTACCTTAGATGATCAAGATTATTATTATTATTATTATTATTATTATTTAATCAGTTGTTTCTCACGTTCAAAAATAAAATTCTTAATAAGAATGTATCATAGGGAATTTGTACATTAAAAAAAGAATTAGAACTTAATTTTATTTTTATTATTATTATTATTCGTTAAATATATTGATTAATAATATTAATCTTTAAATGAATTTTACCATTATTAAAATATTATATTTGAGATGAAAAATAATAATCTAACGATTACTAAATCTTAACTTTTGTAACTGCATAAGTATACATTAAGCTTACTTACGAGCTTGTAAACTTTCACCATGCTTTTTCTATGGGGATAAAGGGTGGAATGAGGGGGTTTCATCTACTACTAGCTAGGAGATTACACGTTTCTCTTGATAATGAAACTCGGTTTTGTTGGTCGATAATCACCATTCGTACATATGCCAAAGTTTTGAAATGTTGTGTTCGAAATATCACATATCAAAATGCATATATATATATATATATATATACACACACACAAGGCCATACATAAAATACTCATATTATAATATATATTTTCACGATAAAATACGAAATACAAAATTGAGGAATAATGACTTGATGTTTTACCAATTTTCGAACAACTTGTCATTCATATTCCGTTCAATGTTTTCTATCCAATTAATTGCTTCTTACTATATCATCGAAAATGCCAATAAATTTTTTTTTTTTACAAATATTTCTACATCGCAGAGAATGATTAATTTTATAACATAATATTACACGAATAATCTCGTCCTCCGATTATATCGTTAAATTAATTCAATTTAATATTATTTGTATTCTTTGATCTAATTAATGATGTCTCAGTTTAATTCTAAACTGCAACTTATAAAAATAACGTTTAACGTGTATTATTTTGTAAATTTGTGCATTAAATATAAATATTAAATGTTTTTATTTATATCAAGCTTATAAATATAATATATCT